CTGAAAAATACATTCAGCCTACAAGCAACCTTTTTAATGTGTGGTTTCTCCTTTCATCCCTCTGACCGTGTCCCTCAGCACAACAATAAATATAATCGCCCTAGCAATGCAACAGTAAACAAATAAAAAACCCAGATCCAATAACAATTCTGTGTCTGCTACCTCAGATAATTACTTCATTCCACTTAAAAAAATAATCACACCATGTTTTAAGAGAATTTCGTATGTTTTCCTTACAGAAACATTTGAAAAACACATCACTCTACAAACATCTACCCAAAAATAATGTCCTACATCAAGAAGTTTTCTGTAATTCCTTCTCCCTCTTTTTCTAGCAAGGACAACAGGGTTCTTGCTGCAAAGAATTCTTCTGCTTCTGTTGCTTTATCTGTGTCAGTTACAGCTACAAATTGGATTTATTTATAAAGATATATGGCTATATAAAAGGTAAAAACCACAGATGTTGTGTTTCAGGTCGCCAATTTGGTCATCCAAAACAGAAAGTCTTCACTCAAGTAATGAAAAACAAGAGCACAACGAACATGAACAGTAACTATATCTGTTTGTATAGACAGATCCTTAAACAAGGGACAGAAGGAAGACAATCAGTATTAGAAATGCATAAACAATGTCCCTACTTCTAATTACACTCTTCACAAAAGCAAGAGGGTGGAGCTTTAAAAAATGCTCTCCTCCAGTTCTGTCTTTGTTCGTACGCCTTCAACGAGGTTTGTTGACCCGCTATCTTGACAATTACATTCAAAGCCAAGGCCAATGAACACGATATGCATTGTAACTACCACTGTAAATCTTTGAAATTTTTGCAAGAAATTAACAGATAAATGCAACCTGCTTACAAAAGATAAAATGAAGAATTCCAACAGATTGGCAGGGATACAATCAAGAGAAATCTACTAGAATACTGCTTTTTGCCAACATTAACTAGTTTTCTGAACAGAGCAAAAAGGTGTGCATGCGACTAGCTATGGAGAATATCCATCTTTGCAGGCTTTGCAACTGCACCTGACAGATGCTGAGATCAAAATTCAGTCAATAGGAGGATTCTTACCAGTACTGTAATTCCTTGTTCTTTGCACAGCATGGCTATTGCACCTAGGATAACACTCACCAGCACCCAGAATATAGAAAAATTATGTCCTTCCTTATCTGTCAAAATAAAGCATGCCATAACATCAGGTTTATACATTTAAAGGTAAAGTTAGAAATCTAAATTAAAATCAGAATTTTCAAAACATACAGCGTTTAATCTCACAATCTTTTCTATCAGTCAAGATCTGGATACACAGACTTAAAAAGCACAGGGCACCTCCTGCAATATGCTGGCATTTGTCCCTTTATTGCAGTCATTTTCTGTTCTCAGAGACGTGAGAAATCTCCCTGTTTGCTAGATGTTTTAGCCAGACTAATTAGAATGGCAGCAGCTTGACATAGTTTCAACAATACATCATCTGCAAAGGTTAATTCCCAATACTTAGACACATTTATCATCCTTAGCTAGAGCTCTGTCATTACTGGCTGCTCTCTTCCAAGCTACCACAAGAACAAGAAATTCTTTCTAATGGTTACACATGAAGTGTCACACACGCAAACTGGTTTAACTGCAGTCTAATCTACAAAGGCACAACGAGCTGCTTCTCCAGGGCTGCTGCATTTAGTGAGTACCTCATGTCATTTCATTAACACGGCAATGGAATGCCATGGAGCGCAAAAATTTCAGCATCTGAGCAGAGCAGCAGTTAGTTCTTGCACTCAGGAAGCAGTTTTACAGCAGGGTGAGAAACTCTGGGGTTAAGAGATCAAGAGTAACTAGAGCTTCTACTCAAAGAACAAGTCTTTAAAGACTGCACCATGTAGCTTATTCTGGGTACTACAAGCAGGCATTTCTGAGATTAATATAACAATAAGTCCTACTTCAGCCACGGTACTATCACACATAGCGTACATGGGTACTTCACATAAAAACATATCTGTCACAACCCCTACTCCACAGGTGCAAACAACAGAGGGAAGCACTCACCTCCTTCAGAAGCAGCTTCTTGATTCAAGCAACATGGGCTCTATAGGCATCACAATCTTTGACTTAGCACGTTCAACTTTGTTTTTTCACTCTATTTTCATTGACTGAATCCCTTTCTTACTTTCCTTGATCTCTAGACCAGTTCTTTCCTACTGCTAATGCAGGTTTGACCCTCAGTACTTAAACAGAACTGCAGTAACGGTCTAGGGAAAGGGTAAATGGCAGAATTAAGATTAATTTCACCAGAAGGAGTAGGAATCTACACCTGAGCTAGCACACTAGGCTTCCTTTCCAGCAGGCTGAGAGAAGGGGACACCTTTAGGCATTAAGTTACCTAATTAAACGCAGCTGTCCACCTTTCAGAGAAGTAGCTCGCTCTCTTCACTGTTTATATGGGGAAACTAGTATCCTAGCTCAGATGTTGGGTCAGATACAAAACATAACAAGTGTGAAATGGATCTGCTGACATTGGCTTCCTCTCTCATTTTGAAGCAGACTACTTCTTTTGTGGGAGAGAGTGGAAGTTTTCACAAAAATACGTGGAAGAACAGGTTTTGAAGTTGCTTCTAGCACTCCTTTCTTACTTAAGACTTAAAGCTTCAACAGACTGAATATTAAGACGTTTGAGATTCATCACTGCAATACCTAGTAGGCATTTGTTCCTTCTCCCTCCACTCCTCACAGGCAAGGTGAGACTTAACATCAGAGGTGCAGATGTTACAAAGTTAAAAGAAAGAAAGCCTTCTGAAGGAACAAAGTCATACACATCTCAACAACACCAAAATAAAACATGGAAATACAAAATACATAATGACTAAACTAAAGAAACAGTGCAACTGAAAAAAAAAAAACCAAAACCCCGCAATAAGGAAACTCCAACTCACATCAGTTATTCAGAAGAACAACTGAGGGTTGCCACTCATGGAGGAAGGGGCTTCAAAATTCATTCTAAGCACATTGCTAAGAATAAAAGGAATCTATCCTAAATACATCTCTTGGAGGAGCTCTTCAACTTTTCAGACTCTGCAATACAACAGACTGTTCAGCTGTTTCTTGAAATTCAGTTTTGGTTTGGTATTTTTTTTGTGTGTATTTTTTTTTCTTCTTCTTCAAGTAAAATAGCTGACAGAATGCGAAGATGGAAAGCAAAGTAATTGACTGTGTTCACACAATGACAATCAGTCATTCTTAGTACGTGGAAAAGGGAGAACCGTGAACAAAGCCAACGGACTTTACTGAGTTTACTGAAGTGTACTTTCTTCAGCAGAGAGCTTTCTTCTTCCCAGAATCAAATTCTGGTGGAAAAAGTCAGGACAACTAAGCACTTCTCAGAGAAGCAGTATTCAGTATACATATACACACTATCTTAACACGGAAGATAGTGGGAAGCATATATAGTAAGAGACCAGCTGGCGATTCACAAATGCTTTCATGATTTGAAATGGAGTAATAGGAAAAAAGCAACTAGGTCAAATTATCAAGGACAAGTGTAACAGCAGCGCTCTCATACAGAAACAAACTCTGAAAGCTCACATCACAAAATGAGACAAGGTAATGTTTGTAAAGAACAAACCCCACAATTCCACAGATATATTAGTAAGAAGATCAGCAAGGCCAAAGTTATTACAATATTCAATGGGAAAGAAAATGGACAATGCCAAGAAAACAGAAGAGTTCTGGGCCTTTTTGCTCCATTTTTTTTTTTAACAAAGAGGTCAGCTGCCATCAGCTGGCAAGCACACCAGCAGAAAGGGAGCAAGAACAAAAGCAAAAATAGCGAACTGCAAGACACAGAACTTATTGTGAAGTTAATTTGCTTTAAATCACAGCGACTGATTAATTTTACTCCAGCAGGTCCTATACTACCCACAGTAATCTCAACTGTTATCTCTCTGAAATGATGAAAAACACGTGAGAATCCAAAAGCTTGAAATTAACAAAAACAATGCCTACATGCCTACTTTCAAAGAGGAAGAGAGGTACAAAAGGATAAGCTAAAGAAAAAAAGCTGGTTGAAACTACCCAGGAAAAAACACACTTAAGATGATAAAATATTTTCTAGGTGACCCTCTAAAACATAGAAGGATATGATTAATTGTTTGCCAAAGACAAGTTTTAGCATTTATATCAAACTAATTATAGTTTCTGACTTGGACAGAAAAAAACAAAGGCCTTCTTGATGAAAACAAACCTGTCAGCGTCCTACACCTTGCCTTCACAAAAGCATGAGAATATCACTGGACAGTGCGAAATACACCAGAAAAAATATGGGCTGCATGAAATTATTATTTTTATTCCTGCAATGGCCAGGAAGTATATTAAGCAGAAGTCAGAATTCCATTGACAAACTGGAGAAATGGCCTAGTGAAAAAACCTGATAATCGACTGCCATTCAATAGGCACACATCCAAAGTTGTACAGAAGCAGATGTATCTTCTTGTGAACATCCCAAGACTCCTTATGCCAGAAATGTCTCAGCACATCAAGTGTAGCCAAGCTTAAGTACGGACTCTCAAAGACAGTAAAAGCACCCAGCAGAAGAGAAATAATGAAGGACTCATGATGAGGATCTTATGGGAGACAGTGTCAAAGGCCTGGACTTGTCATTGCTGAGCCACTCTCCATCATCTCTGACAGG